CGAAATGTCAGTCAACTGTCTCAAACTTCATTGTTCCTTTGTTTCCAAACCAATCACTCTCTATTCTCGTCCTCTTTTTTTCCGGTCTTTTTAACCTTCTGCCGTCAGACGTTTCACTCTCAACTGGTGATATACACTACAGTAGCACACGCCAGAGTAAAATTCAACTCTGAGATGCAGGTACATCCAGCTGACGAGTCCTAAATGGGATGAAACGCGAGTCCTGAATTCTACTGCTATCCACTATCTATCTTTGCTTAGAACATGATTATAGTTATCTAATACTTGAGAAGTATCTCATTATAATCAATAAGTTGATTTATTCAAATGAACAATAGTCAATCGATAAAAAAGTAGATTTACAATACTACATTCTAATTGATAATTATTAAATTAAGTTATGTCATTTATGTTGGCTTGAATACACAAATAGCTAGTTAATCACTTTAGAATGTTTTTTCCTTAACTTTAATGAATCAATTTGAAAAAAAACATCACATTCAATGGTATACTTTAGTTGTCACCATATTTGCTACTCACAGTATGATTTTTGAATCATTGTTGTATGTAATAATGAATACATTGTATTTTTTTCTGCAAGCCAATTACACAAGAGAATAGTTTAGTAATTACATGATATTCTAAACTTCAATAAAATTTTATTTGGTACTTTACTTAGATAGAAATTAACTTCAAACTATGTAGCGCATAAACATTACATACATATATACAGATAAAAATACAGAAAAAAGAGCACATGATAACATATTAAATGTACGAAAGTCAAATGATACTTTACAGATCTTTTAAAATATGTATACTTCATTGGAATACATCTCTCTTGAAAACAAAATAATGAGTTGATTTAGATTTTAGTTAAGAGAAATCATGTTGTTATTATACAAGTTTCACCTTATTTGACAGAAGTATTTATTTGATTTTCTCAAATTTTTCAATAGATACAAGGATACTGAATCAACTCAAATTGTCTCTCTCTTGGTGGTCGATATAATGTGAACCATGAACTGAGTCTAAATAGAACGTTCAGTTAGAAAATTGCCCAATATTTTGGCGATTAAAAAGATTCATAAGTTAATAATGATTTAAGTAGGCATCTTGATTGAATGCCAACAAATTACTGAAAAAATATAGTCTAGAAACTTGTCAAAATGAAATTAATGTTAATAAGGGTTTACTAACGATTAAGTTTATGGATCCTCTTTAGCTTCCAATATCACTGAAAGCTAGTAGGAACGAACCTGAAGCACTGGCCGAAATATCAAAATATAGGAGTAAAAACGCAAATATCCATGTAAATCAAGGTTCAGAAAGAAAATGTTATTATAAAGTGCACCCCGGAATCCGGTGGTTAAGCTGTAAATCAATAAACCTGTAACCAAAAATGCTGGATACTATACAGTTGGAGTTAGTAGAAGTTGCAGTATACGTCTAAGTGGAGCAACATGATACAGATTTCTCTCACTGTTATTTATGAATGGTTAACTACGATTGTAAAATAATTCGATCTGTTGGTTTTGAGAACTGATAATATTTTGGATGTATGCGTAACCTTCAGGACACAACAATTGATTTTTTCATCTATAAGCAATTCTTTTACGGTAGCGAACCGACGGACTCATATCATAGCTGTTGGGTAGGTCAAACAATTATGTTATTTCAACTATTCGTGAATGATATAATTGGTAACACCACTGAATAAAATACTATATTTCTGTGTCAGTCATTAAAACTTTGTACTGTTAACCTTTTATATAACGGAATCGAGCACTCCATACATAACAGGAATGTGAATCAGATAGGATAGTTGCACATTCAATTGATGTTTAACACTTACAATAAAAAATAACTGTTACTGGTAAATGGTAAACAAAAGTGTAAGCAGGTACTTTCTACTAACATTTATCTTTACTGCGATTTGTTTGACATAATGAAACATTGGTAACATTGACTAAACCGTTTTTTATCGGTTATGTCAGATATTAATCAATGATCAATAATGTCTGTAGTTTAAATCCAGAGCTGGTCTTAGATCACGAGTGAAAACCTGGAAGCACTGGATGGTCATTTCGTCCTAGTAAGAAACTTCTCAGCTGTAGGCATTCACGACCCGGACCCAGAGGTTGAATCCCCTCCAGAAGAATCTTCTGCTGGGAATGAACAGCCATCATAGTATTTTGACGTTCGCACTAATGGTATAGATAAGATCCGTTCGTGATCTATAATATAATAATTCGACAATATCCACAAATCTCCCCATACTAATTAATAATATCTTTTTATGTCCTATGATTAATAGATAGAGTTAGACTTTATGTGATGTAATTTAAGGTTGTTTATTTCTTTGTAGAAAGCAGAATGGGTTAAAAGTAAAATTTCAACATTTTTAAAACGTCCCATTCATTTAGTTCAAATATTCATGAACATAGGATTACGAATTAAGTGTAGCACGGAAAATATTTAAACTGTATGTGTCCTAAAATATTATTGTTCAGAAAGTGAACAATTTTTATTTAGCACCCAAATTAAATAATAAATCAGGACTGTGAATTAAGCCAAAAATGAATATTTAATAATGTCAAGGAATAAATACTGATAATCTTGATTTACTGAGAACTTATATCTTTTCAATTCGGATTCATCTGCTCAGAATCGAAATGTTCAAGTTTAATAAGCTAATGTTTAAGAGGTACACATTTGCTCATTTTGCTTAATTTCGCGATAGATAGTGATCATTATTCATTATCAGCTGAAAGCATTCATATTCACTTTCGACTTTGTTTCGGTATGATGATTTCCTGACATCACTGAATAGTAAAAGATATCTATACATCTTCATTGTTATCTGTATGCATAACACACCTGCGCTTAGCAGATCTGCTGTAAAAGATATCGCGAAACCACTAGGTGTTTCTTTTCCAGAGATTACTGATAATAAATATTTAATCCACCCATTCGGTTCATTTAAAATGTTTTACTTGTGAACCGTAATATTTTACAGGTCATTAAGTCACCAGACAATCATAGAGTCAAGAGGGACATGCTTCATCTTGCCAATTATTATTTTGTCAAATATTAAGTAGTTTTAGTACGAACAACGATAGTAAATACTTTAGAGTTTAGGTTATAAATTTTCTTGTATTCGAATCACTCTCCTATTCTGAACTTTCATGAACAGAGTTTCAACGTTGGCTTAAGTATTGTTTCCAGTGCACATTCACAGCAAAGTTAAACCATTCAATAATACAAGTCACCATACATATTTTTACACTGCTATTTGAGAGGAATTTTAGTTATACGTTTTAGTAAACGCGTTTTATAGGATGGAAATGAAAGCGAGATACCGTCTTCTATGAACGTGAAACCAACTGTTCAACATATGGAAAAGTGCTTTTTTCATTCAATTCACTCGAAATGACTTCAACGTATCCCGAATTTTATTTTAATTACAACTGTGACGTAATCGTATTTATATATCAAACAATATGAAATAACTCATGAGCGCTCTTCAAGAATAATCTCAAGTTTCATTCAAAGGATCTAAATCATGAGTTGCTCGATTTTCACATGTAAAACAGCCAGAATGTAGTCGACACATCGAATTTAGCTAGTAAATTGAAGTCTCCTGAATTTTACATTTAATAATAGTGTTAAGAAATATTCTATTGACATTAGTGAAGTTGGTTTAATACAGAGCTAATCATGGCCGGTGAACTTCAAGATGTGAGATTGAAGTTATACGTCTCATCTTGAAATAGAAAGAGCGGTTATTGAGAAGACGATCATCATTATGTGATAGTAAATAGAATTCTAGAGTACATTTCTTATCCCATGACTCATCACATGTCTGTAACTTACTTTTGTGTAACTATAAATATTGATTAACGCTTGGTTGAATGGGTGTTGGCTTACCAGGCATCTCCACTCTGCGTCGTTTCTCTTCTCTCTATTCCATTCGTTTTATATACAAAATATATGTATTCACAAGCCCATTCTCGTTATTCGACTTATTCAATTCCGTTATTGACTAACGCGATTTAAGTCGATGATTATATACGAGGATAGGCGATAACAAACATTCATACGATCTAATTGGAGTCAGATCCACGGGCCACTAAAACACAAATGACCGACATAAAATAGTCAAGCAATAACATTTACTTCATTTGTTGATTATCAGAAAATGCATCTTACATGTAGCACAGTTTAAAAGCATATTGACCGACTGACTCAATTAAACAACGCAGCGATGTTGACCTCTGGACAATTGTTTAAACTATACCTTTGAAAAATTAATCTGAAACAACCAGGTCACGATATTTAAATGTATTTTCTCAAATCTTTGCAATGTGACGTTAATTATTAGTAAGTTCATTGTTAAAACATAATTATATATGCAATGTCAAACTATATAAACATATTTAATATCTTTAAAGCAATTAGTCCCTTTTATAAATTTCGATAGAACAATGAGAAGACGGAGTTGATCTGAAAAATGCGATGTATTTGCTCGATGTATTTAATGGAACTTTTATTTGTTTGACCTTTAGTATTTTCATATAAAAATGTCCTGACAAGTATATGTGTGACCAGATTGTTCGAAATGTATAGCGCAAATACATCACATTTTTCAGATCAACTCCGTCTTCTCATTGTTCTATCGATATTTAATATCATTCGGCTTGAATATAGGTGAAAGTAATTAAAACAAAAATCCATTTAAATTGTGATTTGTCGAAATCCTTATATACGTATCAGTATGATAATATATTGAGATAACAAACATCAATCAATCAAATCACTACTATATTTAAATAATTGTGTGATTTGGAATTCTCTTTAGAGTTGTGACTGGCTGATTAGCTTTGAAACTAGTAGTTAATTACAATTGGTCAGTAGAAAGATAATTTAAAATTACTTGGATTCGTATTTTTCTGCATAGTTTTAGAATATCTCATTTAGAAAATACACATAAAACGCCAATGGAAGATATTATTAAAGAAGCTGATAAGTTAGTTGCACAAGGTCAATTTCACAAAGTTTATCATTATCTCAAAGCTTCATTGAAAAATTACGATGATGTTGAATTATTATGGAGATTTGCTCAAGCATGTTATCTTTGTGGTAATGTTCTTGCTTTATGTCATCATGATGAGAAATTTTGTTAATAATACTAATTATTATTATTCTTGCTATTAGTTTATTATGTCACAAATAAACCAAGTAAAGCATTCTGTGAAACATATTTCTCAGAGGGGATGAATGCAGCTAAAAAGGCTATGGAGAAAAACCCTAATCATGCTAATTCCTTAACGGTATTTTGAAATTTCATTACATTTATATAAGTTATTTATTTATTCACCAAATCTATTCAGTGGTATGGTATCTTATGGGATGAACACAGTAATTTGAAAGGTTTCTCAGAAAGATTCAAGAATGTCTCACAGTTATATGACATATGGATTGTAAGTTGACATGTTACTTATTCATTTGAAAATCGATGGAAATTAAAGAAATCACAAAAACTTGATCCGAATAACTTTTTAACTGAGGGTAGTTTAGGCATATGGTAAGTAGTTGCACTTGAAATATTTTCTTACATCCATACAAGGTATTTTATTATGACAGATGTATACAGTACAAAACCAGAACTTTTTAAAGGTACAAAGTATACTGGGAAGGAATTCTCTTATGAATTGGTATGTAATGAGTAAATTCCCAATAAAAACCCATTATTTGTATGTAGGCATTAAAACATATGCTGAAATGTGAAGAATGTAAGTAGAGTATAGATATGCGCACATAAAAAATGTTTATAATCTTTTCGATAAATGAATAACACAAATTCTCATTGATTTAATTCTTTTTTTTTAATTAAAACATGGAGTGGCTCCTATGAGATCTGTAATAACACTGGCACATTTGGCTAAATGTTATGCACGACTAGGAGAAAAAGACAAAGCGAAAGATTATGCTCTTAAAGTACTTAATTATCCTGCACATCATGTCGAAGCCGATGAGGTAAGTATATGAATGTCATGTATATATATATATATATATATATATATATATATATATATATATATATATATATATATATATATATATATATATATATATATATATATATGAATATGTACTGGTGACCTAGTTATATTTATGACGCAACTAAATTAAGTGTATTGGCATTGGATTGGATGGTGATTATTATCCGATAGTTGAAGGTAAGCACCAAGGGGCTCTTGAACCAGGTCATCTGTTAGTTGAAACCCTCTAGCAATGTAGATTTGGACTCATCAGGGAACTGACGGTGCCCATGAAATTTGAACGAGTATCATTCAGTATCACAGTCACTAACGTCACCTATTAGACGCAAATACGCTTTGTTAACGGGTGACAACTAGCATAAAATCTAGGTGGACGGCTCACTAACAGTTTCAGCCAACCCTTTATCATAGAGGTTGATAAGCATATCTGCTAAACGGCTAGATGAACTCATATAACACATTCGGTTGGCTGCACGTACGAGATACTGTGATGTACAATAAATTGATGAAGTAACATTTACTTACCCAATCCTAGGTATTACTGATGCCGGGTTTATTAATAGTACGAATTCAACTGTGCACAGTTTTAGTCATCACAGTGTAATTAGGAGTCATTTTAATTGTCCTTATGAGCAACAATCACTCTAGATCTGTATCCGTTAGTCGAGATCTAGACTTGGATATGTTCAAGTTCACACATGGAAATAGTTGCTCATACATGTAAACCGACTCCGAGAAGCGAAGATTTCACACATAGACTTATAGAATGTTTCCTTTGCGATAAGCGAATAGAATTCAATCAATATAGCACTTTCTCAACCAAACCCTTGTCACCTTACAAGTTTATTATTTCCGTCTGAAAGGTATGATCATATAAACTTGTGTCAAAACAAAATGAAACTGGCGGAAAATTAAATTATTACACAAAAGCTTTGGAAAGTCACAACAATTCACTTTTAATTATATGACTTCAGTAATCGTTTTACTAAACACATTTCTGAAAAACTGTTTGTATGCCTAATGTCGGGAAATAGCCACATTTAGGTCCTTCAATCTACTTGGGTAGTGAGTTAAGTTAGATCTCACACTCAATTTCCTAAGATTCAAATATGGAGTCATTTCTTTGGCATAATTTCTGACTGCATTTACACACATTTAGTAGATGAACTTACGGGGATCATTTGTCCTCTGTATTGCAGTTTGTTCATCGTTGATATGTAATAGGGCAATCAATGTATTGTTTATATTATCTCGGATAACGTCTACCACATTATTTTCTACTACATGTTTGTAAACATATATATTTCTTTAATCATTTATAGGCTAGGAAAGAAGTTGAGGAATTATTTCAAACACTTAAATGATTACATTGATAATGATAGTAACTACTGTACTATAATGAGGAAGGAATTATATTCCATCACATTAAAATTAATGAAGCGATTACTAGTACTAACGTATCATAGTGTTTCATGTATATGAACATTCTACAAATATATGTGATGTGTGTGTATGATGAACTTTGTTATTTAAGTTCTGTATGTCCAATTGAATTGTTAACTGTCTATCGGAGTGGCAGTAAACAGCCGTATCTGATCATTTTCTCTATCATAAGAACATTTTTCTAACCACAAAAGAAACGTGTTGCAACTACAGTCCTAATCTATCACCATGATTATTAAGATCAGAAAAGTTACAGTTTGAATATGTTATTCACAAATTTAAGCGATTGAACTCATTGTATATATTATTTGTTTTACTGGTTCCTGATGGAATTCCAATGTGTACACGGATTAGTCTGTGAATAATCACGATTACTACAATCCAGTTGTTAGTGATTATCAAAAGACTATGGAATAATATATGAAATGTGAACAAATAAAACTTTTGATATTATATATATATAAGCAAACGAACATTTAAGAAACAGAAGTACTCGTAGTAGTCTCAATTTAAGCAGACAGCTGGTTGTTTGTTTCAGAAGTGTTCTACCGAGTTATGTCATTTACATAAAATTCAGGATATTTTACGGATCTGAAGTATTTCAAAGATTGTGATGGGTCATATCACCAACAGGAAAGGAGTAACTTTCAAGACTATTCTTTTGTTTTGATTCATACAGTTCAATGTAGTGAATTTACTACCTAGTCATGGTAGAATATGATAATTCGTTCGGAAAGCCTTGTTTCTAAGCACCAAAACTGGCATAAGTAATCAAATACTACAATCCGCATATCGGTTGGTAATCCGACTAATATATTGGAATTAAATATATGAGGTGAAAATTCAAGAGCCAATACCTTTCAAATGTCTACACGTGCCTGAGGCTTCGTATAATACTTCTCAATCAGTAAGCTCTTTGATTTGGTATGTTGATATTCTTTCGTTATTCGACGACATACATGTATTGCCTAGTACCGATCCTCTCAGTTATTCTGAAGTCTTCCAGAGTTAGAAGCACTCTCTGAATCCACGGAAATCTTTTTAAACAACATAAGATCCTAATGAAACATAATTGATGACATAGTTAGTTCTTCTGCTTCTGTAATTTTACTACTCGAAGATCTCTTCTCTTATTAGACAAATCCTATTCCAAGCGAGAAACTTTACCAGTACGAGAGAAAAGTCAACTAAGTATTGCGACGGAAATAGAAAGATAAATGTGAGTACATTACCGCGTTTATCCATAGTACACTGTAGGCCGGGATGATAAAAGCCTTGCATAAACGATTAGCCAGTAAGCTTTATTACTATAAGCTTGCTATCAATGACGCTAAGATTGACCAAGAGTTTGCTTATTTTGTTCCGTTAGTATATGGAAAGTATTTTTAGGCTTCATAATCGTTGATAGTTATCACATCAGAACAGTCTGAAAGTGTTTACGAGACAGAGCAACATACCTAAAATCCCACTGCAAATAACACATTTCAGTACTTTCCTTGATACTACTAAGACCAAAACCAGTAGCATGTTTGTGATGTGAAAAGCTATGTAACTCTTCTAACCGTGTGTGTTCCTTGTCTCATAAAAAATTAAAACAGGACATTCTGTATATCTAGTGTCTAATTTCTAGCTACCAGCTGCAAGTTTTCTTCTAAGCTAAATACCTTAAGCTACACATTTCTTAATTTGTAAAAAGAAGAATTCTTTTCTATCTCGAGGAGAGACATCAATTCAACATATAGAGGACACTGTCCCGTGTCCACCTAATGGGAAATTAGGTGTCCACAAATCTTTATCAGATTTTTTTTACCAACTTTACCTTCAATCACAGTTTCATTTCTTTAAAGGATCGAAACATTAGCTACACTATATACATGCAGACATGACATAAGATATAAGGGTACGTCAATTAGGGAGGTAACCTTTCACTAATAAAAAACGTCAACATAGATGCATCCTAATAACACTTTTTGAATTAATGGTGAAGCCGATTTTATCGCTCATAACTGAGGTTATCACAAAGCCAGTCATTTCTGTCCCGTTTGTTTCGTTGTGATATAAATAACGCTGTGGTCATTTGTGTTCTGGAGGGGTAAAATGTCTCATTGGATTAGTAATACAAGGTATCAGTGACAAGATTTAAGTGAGAATGTAATGGAAGAAGCAATACTTTAGCATTAGTGTTTGATTTAGTGTTTTCACATCACCAATTACACTTAGCATATACACAAACTATAAGTTATGTTTCACTTGACTATAATCGTTACACTTACATACAAATGTCTTAGCAAAATGTAGTTCTTGAAAAGTATTGACGACATTGTGTTAAATTCATGAGTGTTCCATAAAGTCTAATTGCTTTAAAACAAGATTTATCTAATCATATAGTTATCTAAAAAACGTGGGGGCATATTTTTAGAATAAAATATAGACATGGACTTAGTGTGGAGATCTAATCAATTGAGAGATATTCATGAAGAAACGATACTATGGGCGGGGACACCATCGTCAGTGAGTATCTGAAAATTCGACTGTCAGAAAATTTCACCAAATATTAGCTCTAATATGTACCATTATTCATGCATCCAGTAACGCACATAGTCCTCTCATTTACGAAACAATTCAAGTACTTATATCTCTCATTAACATGACGATGTATCAAGGGTAAACACAGAATACATTTTACACATGTTCTACACAACATAAAACGCATCAATATTAGTGATAGGTAACCGAAATGTACTAGTCTAACACAATCCAAAGTAGCACTGACTTATACAAGTTGTGTTCATTTCGGTCGTTTCTAAATCTAAAAAGTAACAACATTCCAGAGAGGATCAAAACAAACACTAACCCAATTATTATATTCTCTCAGTAAAATTAAAAGATAATTGAGGACTAAAAGCATAATTATAATACAAGGCCATTACAACTGACATCGTTAGTTAATGGTAGACAGTCAAATGAGAGCAGAAGGATCAAATATGGAACACGGGAAAGGCACTATACCATATGATAAAGCGACTCTTTACAGAATCTATAGCCATTATGAAGATCATATAAGTGAGGGGCTAGTATATGGTTCGATTTCATCGCAGTAAGGTATATCATACGATTTCAACGCTATTAATGTAGGGTTCCCAGACACATGTATAATTAGATGACAAAGGCCCCACCTCTGATTGGTAGTACGGTGATGATTATTTCATAGTTTCACAATAATATGTGACCTAGTGATTGTATGTCAAAAGTAAGGATGTGTAAGTTTTTTCTAAAGCTAATAAGGGAGTCCTGTGGATCGTCAAAAACAACTTTGAAATGACCACTGGTACAGTATGCTGTTCCAAGATGCAGTTATTTAAACTTATATTTGTGAGACGATTCACACTGAAAGATAAGTTTGTCTGCATAACTATACTTCCGTGAATAAGTCACAGTTCATAATGGAATGCAAGTTATTATATTTCGTTTATTTATAAATATCAACAGCTATAGCGAAATACAGTTAAAAATTCATTATGAACTCGTCTATGAAGAATTTCTTTTGCACGGACTCTTCCATTAGACAACTTTTTCATCATAAGATGTACTTCTTCAGGGCAGTTGTCTTTCGATAACAGTAAGTAAATGCAGCCGTGCGATGAGAGCAAATTGTAAGCTTGACTTAAAAATGGGTCAATCACCTGAAATTCAGTTAAGAAAACGCAATGTACAAATAAGGGGGTTGAAGGAAGGACGAACAATATAAACCATTTTATTTGACACACCACAAGCAAATTATGGTATAAAGGAATATGGGGAAATCTTCAGCAAGCGTTTAATACATCTAGTACATTTATTTGTGAGAGTTCCAAAAGATCATATTAATCTCAGATTAATAGAACAAGTTTTAGGAGCAAGTGACTTAAGCTAGCAAATTAGTGCTTACAGATAGGAAATTCGAAATGCAGGGAAAGACGACACTTGGTAATTTCATATATAATCTCCAAAATGAACCTTCTACTTTATTCATTGCTATCCTCAAGATACTGTCTAACAGGCAATCTAATATATTTTCATGTTGAATAACGGTTTCGGTATACAACACAATTACATAACAGAGCACAGAACTATCAACAAAAGGAATAATGAGAAAGTACTAACACAGAGAGTGGACTTTTTTAAATACAGCTACAGATGTTCAAAATGGACTTCAGTGCACAACATCCAAATAAGATACTAAACTTGGATTAAGTTCTGTAATATCCATTGATTTCTGTGATGTTGACTCAAGACCGGTGAAATTAAATCAATTGTTACACACACTGAGTTTACCGAAAAAACACCAAAAATATGCTTATGCCTGCAGGAAGATTTGGAACGACAAGTTTATAACTTTTAACTGAACCAAAAAACCAGCAAAGTAGTCTTACTTCTCTTCCCAGTCGCCCACCAGACCATGAGGCAACTATAGTCGAACTAGCAGCTTTGTGTTCGTCTGACGTTGTCGGTACATAGGGAGGATTAAACATGACTAAATCCACACTTTTATATAGTCTAGACAAGAGGGGAGTTGCTAAAGAACAATTAATTACATCATATGTCACCGATGTACTAGGAACATTTACGTTCAGCACACGTAGAGAAGCGTAACATGCCTACAATGATAAGATAGTGATTGAATAGCCGCATACAGTGAGGGATATGTCGGTGCATATGTGGAAGAGTGGTTTTGAAATGGATGAGCAAAAGAATGCACTGATAACTCCACTACCGCTTCCAACTTCAAGAGTTAAAGTGGGCCTCAATTCGGACAAAAATCCAGAATCCAACTCCAAAGCATCCAAAAATAAGTAGGAATCCTCAGATGGTGGGTAGACTTCTGAAAACTGTGATTCGTTCATACAGGATGTTATTGGAGTGGTCATGAGATAGATAAGTA